ACTCATGGAGTTGTTAGAAAAGAAAGCAAAGTACGAAGTTGTGCATGAATTTGTGTACATTGTTTCGATAGGAGTATCAGCGTTATTTGAATATCCTGAAGAGCCATTCGTGGGAGAAGCCTCTTGGTCAGTCCTTTGATCCCATTGCTGCACAAGCTGTGAGGAGGAGACGTAGGGTCTTTAAGTGGGTGGATATTCATGGGCAGCCAAGCGACTACCCGGCTCCTTTAGCACCTACCCCGGGGGATGTTATTTCGGGCAGAGCCGTGCCGGATTTGCAGGCTCTCCGATTCAGGGACCCAGAGTTCTTTGTGGCCGGTTCGTTAAGACAAGACCCTGGTATTTGGAATGATGTTTTGGCAGAATCGCCCGACAAGGAATATGTTCGGGCCTGGTTGCATCAGGGAGTTAACCTTTAGGATTTCTTCCAACCATTTGAGAGTCAATATAGGGGTAGAAGTTGTTGTTCTGATATACCCCCTGAGATGTATTTTTTTAATTCTCCTCTTTGTCGAGATCGTGTGAATTTTATCAGCACCACTATCACTAAGCGCTTAATAGAGGGTTCCATCGACCTCCTCGGTAAGATCCAAGAAGTGGAGCCACCGAGGTGTATAAACGCTCCGACAATAGAGCCTAAGAAGCCTCGTCTGTCTATGAAGGGCCCTAACCTGTGGTGCAAGGATACGCCTTTTAATTTGGTCCCTTTGGGTGACATTGTCAAGCCTATAGAGCAAGGCGGTTTCTTCTCGGGCACGGACGACTGCCAAGGATACAAACAGGTTTTCTTATCCAAGGAATCGAGGACCTTTTGTGGCTTCGAGTGGGTGGGCTTTTACTTCGCTGATGCTACTCTGCCTTTTGGTTAAAAAAAAAGTGTGCATATCTTTTCGTCTATTGGTTTTTGCCTTTCGACGTGGCTCAAGAACAGAGGGATACATACTGAAGTCTGGACAGACGATCGTTTTATAGGGGAGTGCAAGTCGGGTGAGGGGCAGTCATGTTAGGTGTATCGTAATAGTTCATTATTTTGGTTGCATTCCAGGGTGAGCGGGATGTGTGCGAGGAGAGTCCTTATACCAGATCTCTTCCAGCCTCATATGTCGTATGCTACATACAGTCCAAATTGGGCTTTTTCGTCAATTTGAAGAAGAGTCATTTGCAGCCATCTCATTCGATGGTTCATCTCGGATTTGGAATATGCTCAAAATCTCTATCATTTTGGATTCCGGAGCGCAAGAAAACATCCTTCGCTGAGGTTAGAGAGTCAATTTTGAGGGAGAATCAAGTCGTTCTAAAGCAGATGCAGCGATTCGCGGGCAAGGCTCAAAGTTTCAGTTTGGTTTTTCCCAGCCGCATCCTTGTTTCTCAGGGAATGTTTCTCGTTCTCAGCCACTCTTGATGATCTCTCCCCTGCGTCCCTGCCTCCCGAGGTGCGGGAGGAGGTGTCCTTTTGGCGATTCGTCGACTCTTTCTCGCAGCCCATCCCTTGGAAGCAAGAGCGCCACCTGACCATTGCATTATCGGCAGACGCATCGGGCTACAAATGGGGTGGTACGTTACTTCTGGGCAGGCCTCCGAGCAAAATCCAAGCCACTCGCAAGGATTCTCAGACCTATTTTTGCCCTTTCTTTAGAGGCAAATTTTGCGCTTCAATTGAGCTGGGTCTCATCTAAAGATAACCCTGCCGACGCTCCATCAAGAACGACCTCGAGGGCAGACTCTCATTTGGCACATCATTTGTGGGTTCCTTTTCAGAACGAATTTGGGGGTCCTTCAGGGTTTACCTTCGACTTGATGGCCCTGCCTTCAAACGTTCCGGCGCGCAAAGATGGCGTCCCGCTCAAATTGTTCTCAAGGTTCCCCGTGCCCGGTTTGGCGGGTATAAACGTTTTTGCTCAACAGTGCCCGCGGGGCGAACATCTGTATGTGTTTCCTCCCTTCGCCCTCATTGTCCTCCCTTCGCCCTCATTGCACCCCTTGTTAGGCTGTTCCAGGAATGGGACGAGGTTTTGGTCACAATGGTGGTGCCGAAGCATGCTCAACCCAGGGTCTGGTGGCCCCACTTAAGATCCTTCGCACAGAGGGCTATTAAGCTAGCTGAAATAGGCCAAGCAGGGGTTTGGAGCACCCCTCTACAACCGGATGCATTCCAAATATCAAGGGGCTGCCGTTCGAGCTTTGGGCTCTACAGTGTTACTTTTCCAGTAGTGGGGTACCACGAGTCTGCACGTCCCCTGTCAAGCCGCAACGTGTTCTCCTTGTATCCGACTCCATGTTCAGGGGGTTAGAAGATTTTGGATGGCCTCGCGCTTTAGATGTACAGATCTCCGTTAACAGAGGATCAAAAATGCCCACTCTGTGTAGAAGCCTGGTCTTAGCTTGCCGCAACGGGCAACCAGAGGTTGCTGTCCTTCATGGAGGCATAAACGACCTTAGTTGATCGACCGACTGTTCGCAAGGAGCACTAGAAGTGATCAGGGTATTTCGGGCAGCTGCCACACGAATTAGGGGGGAGTTTCCTGGCTCTGTGTTCGTTCTGTCTTCAGTATGCCAAACAAAAAAGGTCAGGGTCAACTCCTCAGTTGCTACAGTCAATTTGGCTTTGAAGGACATCTGTCACGAGACTGGCTGGCACTTCTTCTCTAACGATCATATCGGGCAGTCTGACCTGGCAGACGACGTGCATTTGTCTATGCCAGGATATCTCAAGATCCAACGTAAGCTGCGTTTGTTTCTACAAGCCATTTTGGGCTTGCCACGGGGGGTCGAAATACCATGCTAATCAAGTCTATACAGCATAGGCCAAAAAGAGAGGGTGACACAGAACCAATGCATTGCTGGCTGGAGTGGATTTAATTGACGTTTCGAGACAGTAAAACTGCTCTTCTTCAGGAACCTATACAAGTAAAAAAAACAACAATAGCAAAACTTAAACAAAACGAACTTAAACGACAATAACAGAACTTAAACAAGGGTGATAACTGTGGTGATTGAATCAGGTCGAAAAGGGTTTATGAATTTGCTCCAAAGGCATTAGAAGGAAGGGTAAAGGAATGGTGTGGGGACTTACCAGGTTGGGTGCGTGTGTGTGTGTGTATGTGTTGACTATTGTAGAAGTGACTGAAAGTGGAGTCTGTAGCAAGCGGAGAGTAGGAGATAAAACAGATGACAATGGACAATTAAGCCACAAAGAAAGTGGACAAAGGAGGAGCTCACAGCCCTTGGTGTCAAGCGGGAGCTAGGTAGGATACGGTGTGTATTGTTGTTTGATGTTCATCCCAGCTGGTTCCACTGTGTTGAGTTGGTGCATCCATTGTATTTCTTAGGGTTTGCGAAGTTGGGTGGAGTTGGTGGTGATTTGTTCTATAGCTAAAATTTGCATGTGAGAAATGTTGTGGTCTGGAAGATTGAAGTGTTTGGTGGTGGCTTGATCTTTCTTATTGAGTGAAGCATCAGACCTGTGACCCCTGAAGCGAGTTTTTAGAGTAGTGCATGGTTCACCGATACATTGCATGTTGCATTTGGTGCATGTGAGACAGTAGATGATGTTTTGTGAGGTACAGGACAGGTGGCTTTTGATAGGAAAGATTCTCCCTGTAGAACTGCTGCAGACTTGTGTGGTATTGATAGCGTGTTCACATGTGACACAGCGTTTAGCTCTGCATTTGAAGAATCCGGCAGTTGGTGTATCTGTGGGTTTAAGTGATGAAGACACAAGCAAATCTTTCAGGCTTGGGCTCCTTTTATATGCAATCATGGATGGATGTGGAAAGCAAGACTTCAGTCTGGGTGTGGACTGAAGTATGTTGAAGTTGTGGAGAAGAGTGTTGGAAATATTGGGGAGATTGGGGTTGTATGGCAGACATAGAGGGATGCGGGTATTTGCATAGGCCTACGTTGTTTCTGGCACACCAAAGTGTTTTGTGTTGCTCCTTCTTTTTTTTTTCTCATCCCAAGATGATTGCCGTGACGGCCAGGCTGGAAATTGGATGCAGCGCTGGATCGGTTCTTGCAAGAACATCACAGTACTGGATACCACACGGAGGGCTTGGGACTGGACTCAGCAACTCCGCAGGACATCCTAATGTTTCTGGTCGATCGCGATTCTAGAGGCCGCACACAGATTCACATGGTAGGTTGTACAAATTTGGGGAAACATGGAACCTTTTCTTGTGGATGTCCGCTCAAATTGGCTGCAGGTACCGTGGTATAATCATGTAAGTTTATAAGACTGCGCGCTTTGATCTGTTCAATGCAAATGTAGCTTTTGCTAATAAAGGCATGATAAAAATATATGGATATTTTGGTTCGTTCTGGGTGTTTTTTTTTTTTGGGGGGGGGGGGGGTCGTCTTTGCCCCTTCCAGGTTTGGGTAAGGTTTGGGTGGTAGTTGTAGGTTTCCAGGGCTCATAGCAGTAACAAGGGTCCATGTTTCGGCGAAAATCTATCTCCCCCATATCTAAGACCTGTAGATACCGGAGTCGGACGGAAACAAAGACGGTGGTGCAAATAGGTTACTATCGCCCCCATATCTAAGACCTGTAGATACCGGAGTCGGATGGAAACAAAGACGGTGGTGCAAATAGGTTACTATGTACATCAGATTCGAACCAGCCAACCGATCCCGTTAGCTCAGTGGTCGAGTGGTAAGACATCTGCACTAGAAAGCAGGAGGTCGTGGGTTTGAGTCCCACCTAATAATAATAAAGTGCTCATACCAAAAATAAACATAGTCCTCTCTTTTGATGTTTTGCTTTAGGGCTACAAGGAAAAAAGATCTGTCCATTTTCATGACGGGTGGTATATGGGTGAAGCTGGGTGAGATTTAAAGCTCTTTCTTCAGAATTATCTACGTGAAGGATTAACAACTTTGTGCAGGTTGTTTGTACATTTTCCAAGTAGCAACAACAAGCAACATACCAAAAGAACAATCAACACTACAACTCTTAGAAAAACTCCACACAAACACGAATGAAAGAAATAATGAATTGCCCTTACTTTCCCGTGGACTCAAAGTGCAGTGACATAGGCAAACCAGCAGCATCAGCAAAAGACAACACAGCCTACAAGATAAACACTTATTCATTAAGTTATCAATGTAGGCAATCAAAAGTGGACGTAGTTAGAAGTGGAAAATGTATGTAGTCTTTAAATGCAGTATCAAATGAAAGGGGTCAAAAACTATGTGAGTGGTGTGCCAGTGAGATGGAATATGGAATATTTATTTATTTATTACATTTGTATTCATAACTTCTGGTACTGAAACCAAGGATTCCCAAAATAGCGCCCTACACACTGTAAAGCTTGCAAGCCTGAAGAAACTTGTAGAGAGAAGTCGATGAGAAGATATTACAAGTTTAGAGGTGGGTGGAAAACCCCGGAAGAATATTCTGGGGAAAACCCAAGGAATCAGGCAGGAGCTGAAAACCCAATCTACATTTTGGCCCAGGCAGGATTCGAACCCGGGTCACAGCAGTGGAAGGCGAGGAAAGTACCGCTACGCCAACCTGACTCTCCCAAGTGTTTTTTGTGTGTGCTCTAAGGACAGCTTTAAACTAACTGTCTGTCCCTAACATTGAAAATGTGAGTTCTCTATAACTGATACCAAATCATCTATATTTTGAACTCTAACCCCCTAGGCCCTTTTTCCTAGGAACCATCCTCAATCCTCCGAAATCTTCCAAAACAGCCAGGATGATTTTGGAGGATTGAGGAGGGTTAGGGTTGCACAAGTGATCAACGGCATCTTTATGACAAATCTCTTTGTATAGTCCGCATGGGAAGGAATGTTATAATGTCTGCGTGAATACATGTAAGTGCCCAGGAACAGAACATTTCAGAGGAATTATACAGACTATATCACCTGAGATATCATGCTGACAGCAACAAACAAACAGGTAAAACAAGTACATATGCATCTTTATCATATTATTTGTCAACAATAAACATCGAAGCTTGACTTAGATGATGCGGATGCGTGACTTGAGGGGAGTCAGGTTGGCGCAGCGGTACTTTCCCCGCCTTCCACCGCTGTGACCTGGATCGAATCCCGCCTGGGCCAGAGTTGTAATGACCCGAGTCAATGACTCCAGTTGAGTCCCTATGGGTAAATGACTCGACTCGACTCAAGTCACTCCGAACAAATGACTTGACTCGACTCGAGTCCATAATCAGAAGACTTGACTCGACTCGAGCGAAGGCTAATAAGATTCAAGTCCAAAAAATAAAAGCAAAACTCTGCAAAAAGTATTTGCAATGACTTAAAGTGCAAAATTTATGTTCACATCACATTGCGAATACAGTACAGTACAGCAGCCGCTTGTCATGTACAAACATACAACGTGTCACAGACTCCCACCTCATGGTTCTAGAACGCACAAAATACTATCGAGAAACCGGATTTTAAACACATTTTCCAATTTGTTGTTGCATCATTGGCTTTGGGCGTTTTTTATTAAGCTCTTGGATTGGAACGCCAGCTAAATTTATGCCCTGCTTTTATACATTTTGGTAAAGAGTGTTCAAGTTTTTGTGACTCAACTTGACTCGAGCTAAATAGTTGACTCGACTCGACTCCACTCAACCTTCTTGACCTAATGACTTGACTCAAGTCACTCCTTTAAAATGACTCGACTCTACTCAAGTCACCTCTTTAAAATGACTCGACTCACAAAAATCATTGACTTGTTACAACTCTGGCCTGGGCCAACATGTGGTTTAGATTTTCAGTGGGTTTTCCCCAGAATATTCTTCTGGGGTTTCCTCCCACCTCTAAAACTGTAATTTCTTCTCATTGTCATCTCTCCACAGGTTTCCTTCAGGGCTGCAAACTACAGTGCCTAGGGCATTTTTGAGGAATCCTTGGTTTCATTACCAGAAATGATTAAAAATTATAATAATGATTAATAATTAATTACTGAAGCCTTTAGACAGTCCAACTTTCAAGAGAGATATTATATGCGCGGTGCAGAATAGAATAGTTGGCTGATAACATTGGCATCATGTGACCACATACATCAAAGTGTTACGTCATGATTGTCAGGCATAACCAATACGCCTGACAATCATGACATGATAGAGCTGTCTTGAAAGTATAGCTTACTGGGATCAGTGACTTCATTTCCAATCTTGATATCATAAGTGCTTTATATAAAGCAATCAAGAGATGCCAGCAGAGCAAATGGGTGGTATTCCAGGATACAACTTACCCTGAGTTCCTTTAGGCAAAATGTTACTTCTGCATCAATGCCCACTGTATAATCATCAAACTCACTTGGGCTTAGAAACATCTCCGAGTGCACAACCTTGTTAGGATCTGTTGACGATAGAAGATTGACCTCATAAAGAATGCAAATAAAACCTACATAAATTTACTATGAAAAGTAGTGGTTGAGGGGCTACTTGTGCACAGAGAGCATGAACTTTTCAATCAGAATGTTCAGAAATATGAGCATCACAGATATTACGCTATAGTCCAATGCATGTTGTATCAAAAGCATGAGGTTCTTTATCCTCAAGGAGTGATTCAAATCGAAGGTGGTGTGTTTCATTTGTTTTTTAACTTAAGGTTTTCTTCGTGTGATGTAATAATCAAAGCCATATGTGAAAAAATTAGAAAGTTATGCATGTTTTGTGAAACTGCAAGCCTTTCACCATATGACAAAATGACACTCCGCACCTCAATTATTAAGCAGTTTTTCACTCTTTTTGTAATGGTTAGACTGTGATTGGTGGCTGATGTACCTGGTTCATCTTCTACATAGTTCTTGAAGCTGACCTGTTGAGGAGTTACGTTCAATGTAATCTCCTCCTGTGACGTCTGGAAGCCACTCACAACATCAATCAGAGCCCTAGACAAACAACACAACTTGTCATCAAATCTCACCTATATCACAGAAAAACACGATCTTTCTACGTCACATTTAGATTTCAGTATTTTACGCCAAATTCAAACATCAAATTTCTGCCATCTTATTTAAATTACCACAGACCAATTCTGTATTGTACCTGTAACAATTTATAATACAGTTATTAGTATGTTTGACTTTTGATCTGAACTTCATCATTCTCATGTTCTTAAACAGCAATTGCGGAAACCTTTTTGAAGTTATAGTAAATACCCTTTGCATGCCTTTGGCCCCCGGGGGCAAGTTGATTAGGACATGGCATCTGTCTTCTGTTGTTTCCCTGCAGTAAACACACTGTCAAGAATCTCTTTTCAGAAGATGCGTGGTTCTGAAAAGAACTGGTTGGTTTTCAGAACCACACATTGTCTCAAAAGAGATTCTTCTGCATGGTGTTTCTCAGAGATGAAACTGGCCTTGGCAACAAAAATCTGAAATTGGACCTTGGTTAGGAGCCACAGCGTCGCGCAGCGCAGCGCAGCACAGCGCAGTGCAGCACAGCACATCAATGTCATAGGTCAGTATTGAACCTTTTCTCCAGCCGGAAAGCATCTGATCAGTGTTGGTCTAGGTGTTTTACCCTTGTGCACATTTTACGTGCCATTTTCATTGACTTTTCTTGGAAATAATAATTAAAAAAAACATTTTGTAGAAAAATCCTTAAGAAATCATTTTTGTGGGATGGTTAAAAAATCTGAAATTTCATTGGAAAAGTTTTAAAAATCTGATTTCAGATTAAAATCTGAAAAGTTTCATCTCTGGTTTCTGCAAGCCCTCACTAGTTAACGCTACCGCCATGAAGTTTTAAATCTTATTTACACCGTCAAGAGTTTTTTTATGTCCAGCATTGTGCTCCCTCCCAAACCCACATCTAGTCCCCATTAGCACTTGGAAAAGAGAATGCTTGCCAAAAAACATCCAAAATGACTCATTTTTGATGATAGATTCTAAGATTTCTTGCACACGGGTCCCTCCTTCTTTGAACAGTATTATAGGACATATCCTTTCCTGATTTGCAATTGTGTGGCAACTTGTGAAGCAAACTGCCACATTTCAGCTGCTCCAATGCGGAACACAAATGAATCGTATTGGACACTGCAGAAGTTGAATGATTGAAATGTTTTTTTTTTAGCACATGCAACATAGCTAGTGCTGTCCACAATCATGACAATTCTGTGACATTTGAAACATTGAAGTAAACCTTCATGTACATGTTCTACACCTGACGCATGCATTAAGATTAGCCATTAAAATAAAGGTTAGTGCCAACCGACCAACCCAATTTTTTTTATATATTGGCTACAAAATAACAGAAACAAAAGTGTAAAACAAAATCTCACTTTGAATTAGCCACAATGTGGTTAGGACACAGGTCTTTGGAGAAGACAGCTTGAAGGGTCTCTGTTTCTTGGTAAGTCAGATTATGGGTCTTCACAATACCTGAAGAAAAAGGGCAGTTAAATGAATGAAAACGCACATTTTTCATAAAGAACATATTACATTTATTTCATGAGTTAATTTACGAGCGTCAGGACTTGATTATGTTTTGAATATTGCACAAAAACAGCATTCCAAAGAACTGCCATACCAACTCACCTTTATCACGTTTGAAGTTGATACATTATGTATTTCTTGAGATATCTGACTGTACTCATCATATTATGCACACTAGTCCGCAATGGGTAACAGTTCCACATATTGCAGTGCTTAGCAGATACAGCCTGGTTCGTGAAGTTTTTAGATGATATTTGCCTCTTCATGTAGGTTGCCTGAAACTTTCATGACTTTAATGAAATACGGAGTCCTGTATGTTGAGTTACACTCGATTGATGTAAGTAAAACCTTGGTCGTTTGTCTCTTTGCAATATATATGCATCTCCATGTACAAAACAAAACAACCTGAGCTTCCTTAGACACTGTACAATGTACACTATGAATGTCTGATTTGTAGGGAACCTACCATGCTTGCAATGCAGAAGGAAGACTAGTCGGCAATCCTTCAGATCAATGTACACCTGACATTTATCCACTGTTTTCTCCAATGTGTAGAGCGACTTGAAAACTGTCAGGCAAGACTACATCGTAAAGAATCAAGAAGTAATTGCTGCCATCAAACTGCTATTAAATCAAACCCCAAATTTGCCAAACAATGCCAACATGTGTGGTGGAAAGAGCGATCACACAATGCATGCAGCAGCAGCAAATCAGAAAATCCATACAATCAAAGTATTTGATACTTTTGAAAGACATAAACTCAAAAACCCAGTTTTGTGGACCATGACTTTCTTTGAAAGAATTCAGCCAAATGCCGACATTTTATTTTGGACAGATCTATTTATATCTGTTTAGGGGTGCTTAATCAACCTTTTGGGTGCTAATGCAGTGCTACTGGTCTCTCTCAATTATGAAGTCATTTCCTACAGACCACCCACATGCATCGGCATTTTGGAACATTTTCACTGCGCACTGTGTGCTTGATTGCGTAAAATACGCAGTTGCAGCATTTGCTGTAACATACGGGACGGCGTGAACAGACTGTTGTGTCGCGATCGTGTAGACTACATACATGGTTACACGAAACTGAGCATGCACAAAAGAGCCATCGATGTGAAAGAAGAACTTCAAAACAGTTGACTTGTAGCACTAGTACAAGGCTGTAGCTGAATTATTTGTGAGTTTCAAGTACAAAACACTGAGCAACCGCTGAAACCGGCATCAAAAGAATACAGCAGGTTCGGCTCAAGTCAAAAGGGGGGGGGGGTGCTGTGAATGGATGGCGATGGCATGCGCCCCTGCTCAAGAAGTCTGAGAGGCACGTTCTACTAGAAAATGTTAAAATCTAGATGCTTACTGCTGCACTCTAGCACATGTAAGAGACTTTTGGATTATAAGTAAATCATTTTGGGTTCATGATCACCTTGGTTGTACGGTCATTGTAATTACTGCAAATTTCGAAGTTGATTTCTCACACATGAAAGGGTTGAAGGCATACTGTACACGTACAATGTGAGTAGCACATGCATCTTGTTTTCTTCAATTCATTCAACATCTCAGTATACACCTCAGGACATTACCTTCATTGTTATTCGGCATCTAAAGCTGTCCTCTTCCTCTTGATTTGTCTCCTGTTGATTATACGTCCCATTAATATACGACAGGAAGAAACTTGGGGCAAACAGGAAGCAGGCATAGGCTGACCTTGAAGAGTTCACTGTCCTCAGAGCCAGCTGATGCAAAAAGAACACACACATAATCAACAGATAGCTCGTCTCATGGATGAAGTGACACTTTAAAGTAAATTACCTGGTGACATTTTACATGCAAGTAGCATGTTCCTGCTTCCACCTACATGTACAATGTATGTACCTTCCTGTAGTACTATTTATGTAGGATTTCTAGGAGGAAGTTGGATCTTTTCTCCACATCATTTATAAGTTGAATCTTGCCCACTGATGGCAGGAAGGTACATGTGTACATTGCTGCTTTTGCAGCTGAAGCGAAGCCTGAATGTGTAATGCAATTACAGGACAAAATTTGACAATATCGTTCTTTGCTCCGTCATCAGATGTACATGTATAGTTACTGCAAATTCCTTCAGAATATTTAAATGAAATTGAAGCCAGGATATATCACTTCTGCTCAAGCAAGCAATGATACTATTAGTATTACCTAAGCAAAGAAATTCAACCTGTGTCAGGGCCTAGTCATAATTTACACTGTACAACCTTAATGACCTAAGAGCCAAAGTACGAATATGAAATGATCTGATTGAAATATTCTTAGTTTCTTACCCCATGATCTAAAGGTTCGATGTACAAGTCTTCTCCAATCTTTGATAAACAGTGGATACTTCTTCCAAATACTAGTTTGGAAAACAAAGGGTAAAATGAATGACAAGGTTTTTAAGATTATAATGAAAACCATCTGTTTAAAGTTTCTGCTGACTATCTGGACAAAGATTTCGTGACAATCTAATTGACAGTTGATTGATTGAAGTGACATGATTACTACAGGTGATTCAGATCATATCCAAGATAGCTTCTTGTGATAGTTTTAGTGGAGGGAGAAAGCAGATTCTTTTTTTTTCCAAACTGAACAATGGTTATTGATTTCACCGTTTCACATTTATTTTACGTGGTAACGGATACATGATCCAAACAGTGGACTCCCTACCGTAGCACCTATCTCCTGGATCCCGAGCTCTCTGGCTTGCCTCGGGCAACAATGTCAAAGCAAACCTCTCCACCAACTTTACCAGAATGTTACTTTCAAATCCAAAGACTTGAATGTGCTTTATATTTTAGGAAAATGATTGCTTACTCCAAGATCTAAGAGGAAAAACAGCTGTCATTTTTACAGGTACATCTCTGCAACCCCTTGTCCGATTGTATTCAATTTCGTGTTGGAATTTAGATACGCTAACATGTGCAAACGAACCTTGAAATTACACGAAATAGACGTCCAAAATCGGTAGACAAATGTGAAGAAAAACATAAGCGTTCTCTACGAGATTGAAAAGGCCCTCGCGGCTTCGCCGCTCGTGCTAGTCTTTTTATGTGTCGGCATCCTATCATATGCATCACATGAAGCAGACAGGTAGCTTGGAGGGCTCCGAAAATTTTGCACGCAAATGACCCTGGGTACTTGTCCAGCGTCATTTGTCAGGGTCCCTTGTCAGGTTAAAATCTAATTTCTACACGTTCGTATGGGTCTTCATCAACGGCAAATTTCGTTGAAATGACACATCCTGAACACGCGGGAAGGCAAATTTAGATTCCTAGGTGAGTACTCAACATATGTACGAAAGGGGGTCAACGGGGGTCAGACAAGTCGACCGTTGAGACAACTCGACTCGGGACAAGTCGACCGTTGAGACAACTCGACCGTTGAGACAAGTCGACCGTATGTGCGATAAATGGAAAGACAAGTCGACCGTTCAGACAAGTCGCCTCGCATGTTTTGGAACCTAGTTTTGGGGATAGTACCGGGGTTTTTTTTAAGGCGTCTGATCGCCGTTTGGGAGTGATGACATGATAACCATGATATAACAGAGCCGATATAGCGCAGCGTCGGATTGTCCATGCACATCGCCGTTCGTTTTTTCTGGACCTGTGCGCGCATTTGCCGGTCAACTTGTCCGTACCGTGCACGGTGCCAGCCCTGTGCGCCCACTTATCCCATCCCGGTCAGTCAACGTGGCCGTACCGTGCACGGTGACATCGTTTGTGCCGGGCCTGTGCGCCCACTTGCCGCGCCGGTCGACGTGCCCGCGTGCCGGGCCGGGCCGCGCCCGGTCACGTCCTCGCGGGTGGGGCGCACCAGCCCAACGCGCGCGACGGCCACCGGATCGGAGCGCCCACTGTACATCGAGTATGCCCGCGCCGCGCCCGTGATCGGTCCTGCCATGCAATTTTTTCTGCTCCGCGTATACATTTCCATTAAGTCGAGCTGTCTCAACAGTCAAGTTGTCCCGCGTCGAGTTGTCTCAATGGTCGAGTTGTCTCAACGGTCGACTTGTCCCGAGTCGAGTTGTCTCAACGGTCGACTTGTCTGACATTCTACAAAAGTGTGTATGGCGGATCGATTTCGCCATGTTCGAAATGCCACAACAGCGTGGCGTTGTATTACAACGCCACGTTCACGGGTCTATCCAGAGCCCTGTCTGCCTCCTTCCGGTTCCGCGGCCAGGATGATGACCTAAAGATTTTTATTTTAACTTAAGAGGAGATTTAACACATAATATGACTAACGACTGCGGCACTCGGATAACCTAGGCCTACCTTTAATGTTGCTTCCAGGTATCATGCACTTCATATCGTTGTTTAGCGAAAAATAAAACTTTGAAAAAAAACCTCTCACTCACAGTTTCAATCCTCAATGCACACATACATGTATACACAAGTTTTGCGCTCCATGCGCAAACAAGCGAGGGCGCTTTTTGACACATGCAGAAAAAAATTGGTACACAAAATCAAAACCATCTTCTACCGTCGCGTACCATTGGCCGCGCCGCTGCTGCATGCACAACCATGCACAAAATTAAAACAGCGCGATTGTTGTGCTAGCGCCCTCTAGCGAATCGATCATTAGCATCCCCCGGATCCCGAGCGGAGTTGTAGGCCTACACTACAGTCTTCAGCAAAATGGTAACATTTGTGATCTTATTTATTGGTTCATCTTCATCCGGCAATTGTTACAATCATTTGAAAACATACACATGGTTACGCAGATCTTTTTGGAAAATGATAGTACAAACAGACGTTTTTCTTGGGGATGAAAGTTTGCTTGCGACACGCCCCCGGTCTGCATGGTCTGTATCAGTGTACAGTGGTGTATGGCGGTTAGCCCCATAAATGTGGCCTATTTAACTGGACTACCTCCGTAAACATAGTCATAGGCCACACATCCACATGTACAAAAACGTGTCGCACTTTGCCAAATTTTGATTTTCACATTTAGGCTTAGTTTGTTGGGGTTTTTTTGCTTTAGAAGCATACTCACCCTCTTTATAGGCTAATCAGAAAGTGCTGCCTTTTTCAGATGTCTAATTTTTGTGAATTTTTATGTTGAAATTTTGATACGCAAACGTGTGCAAATGAATCTGGAAATTTCACGAAAAATAGACATCTGAAAAAGGCAGCACTTTCTGATTATCCTATAAAGAGGGTGAGTATGCTTCTAAAGCAAAAAAAACCTACAAACTAAGCCTAAATGTGAAAATCAAAATTTGGCAAAGTGCGACACGTTTTTGTACATGTGGATGTGTGGCCTATGTTTACGGAGGTAGTCCAGTAAATAGGCCACATTTATGGGGCTATATGGCGGTATTTCCCGCCCCACCATGCCCACATGTGTCATATCAAAGCATTAGTTACTTTTAGGACCCTTCTATTTTTCCCCCATTATTTGAAACCTAAACCCCCCCCCCCTCAACTTTTTTCGTGATAGCCTTAAAACAATTTTTTCGCGACCCGAGCTAGCTTCCTATGACTTTTTAGCCTCAAGCCTTGCACATCTTTTGATACCAAAAATATAAAAATTTGTCGGCGCTGTGCTCCGTGAAAACTGAATTTTCCCATACGTCGTGAACACAGAGCAGAATTACGGCGATGGTGAAGTGTAGGGCCCGGTTCCTATGGGAACAAAATCCACTTTAAAATTATTGGACCTAGGCCTACCAAACTAGTTGGTGACATTCTCAATAAAGAGGTATGTCATAGATAGAGGGCAAGGTTTTGATTTTTTGAGGGAAATTTTGGGGTAAAATGACAATAATAATAATAATAGATTTTTGAGCAATAAAAACATTTGTGACTCTAATTTGATCAAAACAAAACAGGGGCCCTACACTTCACGATCGCCAAAATGACCATTCGTACATATATGCATAATTAATTAGCCATAATTCCCAAACCCTTTGACCTACATGTATGGTCATGAAATTTCTTGGGTATGTTCATGATGAGTTGCTGTATTAATGTACCAAGTTTCAAACTTTCTCGTCACTGGATGGCCGTAATCTTAAGGGGGCGGAAAGAATGCGTGTCAAGCATGTCACCCCCCCCCCCCCCCCCCCCCCCCCCCCCCCCCCCCGGCTGAGAGATGGTCAAAATAACCCGGCTCTTTTAGGGTTGATACTAATAGATGAAAGTTCACTGACACGCCTTCGTCAGTTCGGGGTAATTTCAAAATACTATCAATAGGGAAAGCTAAGAGCTGGTATTTTTGACCCGATGAGAATTCGGCGATCGTGTAGTGTAGGGCCCCTGTTATTTTTTTATCCAAAGATTCAAAAATGTTTGTTATTGCTCAAAAATCACCTTTATAATTCAAAAGCAGGCTTTTCTCAATTCTAATGACACCCGTTTTGCAATTTTGAACAGTTTTTTTTGGGGGGTAGAAATCGCGATTTTCCTGCGCTTGTTTGTGCCTTGCGATTCAGCACGCCGTGGGTGCTCACGGTACATCGCGTGGTGATTGCCATTATTATTTTGGGGTTGCGTGTTGTCGCTGCGCTGTCATCGTTATTTTACCCCAAAATTTCCCTCAAAAAATCTAAACCCTGCCTTCTATCTATGACATACATGTTTATTGAGAATGTCGCCAACTAGTTTGGTAGGTCTAATGATATTAAAGTGGATTTTGTTCCCTTATAAGTTATAGGAACCGGGCCCTACACTACACGATCGCCAAGAATTCTACCGCCTAGTACGTACTTAGTAATAAGGTGTTTCACGGTATGTGCCATCTTGCCCGCGGGGCAATTTAACATGCATTGCTGTGTACACATCGTCAATGGAAAACTTTGGCACTTCCAAGTCATCATGCAGTCATTCTAAAATGCGCCCGCGTCTAGCAGCGTGTGTTCTTTTTGCCCCGTGAACAAGATGGCGCGCATAGGGCTTATTAGTATTACGTGAAACACCTTATTGCTCAATACAATGAGAAAACAAGATGTTCAGTTCCTGCCCTTGATTGTCCATTGTTGAGAAGTCAGAATGGCGATTGTGTAGTTTTGCAACCTAAAGCAGACTTTTCTCAATATAAGGACACCTGTTTGGTAATTTTTAACAGTTCCTTGGGGTAGAAATTACGATTTTCCTACACGGTCTACAGTTGGCATGGTTGTTGCGGTGCGATTCAGCGTGTCTTGTGCACTGACGGTACATCGCGCGGTGTCGCCATCTCTATTTCAGTGTTGCATTGTATTGTTGTCATCGTCATTTTACCCCCAAATTTTTCTCAAAAATGCAAAAGCCTGCCCTTTATCTATGACATGCGTGTATGTTCTTAATGTCGCCAACTACTGAACTAGCAATTTTGCAGTTGTTTAAGCAATTATTATAAAACGAAAATATTATGCAAAACATTTTAAAACAAGTTTTGCAAAAGAAAATATAACAATGAAAATATTTCAATTGCGCAAACAGTAAGCAAACGTCCTGATGACTGACACCACTCGCTCAAAAATGATGTGGTCCAAAGCAATCAGCTGAGCTATAGCATGAGCAACGGGAGCCACTGTATCAGTTATTATGGCATGAATGCTGCATGCGCTGTGCATCATGCTTCCCTGTGCTGCAGCGTGAAGGAAAGCTGGTGGTCTTTTCAGAAAACAAAGGTTTCCTTACTGAATTTGTTGATTGTGAAAAAAATATCAAACAACATATGGACAGCAGAAATGTTATCGTTTTTGAGAAATGTACATGTACATAAAGATTTTTTTTACGTACGCCTTACCCTTTAAAAAAAAATGTAAACATAACGTGTGTCAGCCTGATACATGTTTTGAGTGCCTGGCCATTGTGGACAGTAATTCTGTTGCTCTGGTAAATCTGTCCACTGGACAGATTTACCTGGGTTATTATGGCCCCCTGCCCAACAGAAAATGTGTCCCCCTGGCAAATTTGTCCCCGTGCAATGTATAAGTCTAGCACACAGACTGTATTATGTGCGCAGCGTTGCGTCGGTGCATATTGCAACATTTGTGGCAGTGGTTATTACCATTCCTCCAATAGGAAATTTTGTTATTATTTTGTTATTAATATTTTCATTTCAAATATTTACACTACCTGACTACAGGTTTGTAATACATTAGCCAAGTTGTACAAGTTGTACCTAAATGATTGCACAAGTTACAACATAATTTGTTGCGCAAGTCACAGACTTACACACTATCATGAAACTGTCATGAAATTGTCATACCTGAAATGTTGCTAACTGTGAAATGTTGCACAACTTGTAGTGCAAGTGGACTTACATGTATGCTACTATGAACAACTGCAGTCTAATACATGTATGTAGGACATTTAGACGTAATGCGAAAGTCCCCAGTGTCAACGTTATTCAAAAGAACAAACTGTGAACAACTGATAGGGGACAGTGTCTTCTGCAAGAGTGCAAAATCAGGTCTGCACATAATTATTATAATAATAATAATAATTGGTACATGTACCTTGCGCAAATTCCATGAATATTATTTATCCCTGTTCATCAGGAATGAGACCATTTTTCTGCAGTAGCTTGAGATCAGTGCAATTTGGTCTCCACCTTCATAGGTACCGGTTTATACTCTTAAGTGCCTTGCCCAAGAGCACAAGCACCATGTTCCATGTCAGGGTTCGAGTCCAGATACCAAAGTACCGGTACACCAGTCAAACAACGTAACCATTGGACCACAGCACCCCTCCCCCCCCCAAAAAAAACCACCAAAAAACCCATTTCTTCTGCTCAGTTAATTACCGCGATCATAGTTTTAATCTCTTTCACCAGTCATAAATGGAGTATGCAAATCTATTATGATAATATACACATGTACATGTATGTCAAGGCTGTAAACACATTTGCATTCCGAATGGTAGTAGAGAGGGTGGGAACCTGTGTAAAACTGGTTCAGACACAATACTGATTGCTACCCACATCAAATGTGGACGGGATTCCATGAAAGGACTCGGGGCGGGAACCAACGTTTTCATTATCATTAGCAATATGAATGCATGCAGCAACAATTTTGCACTCAATCTCAAAATATGCTGTCTGTGTAAGTTTACGTACTTGTTCTTCAGAATCACTTGAGCACCGAGGATATTCAGCATTACATGAGTGCTTCAGGAACGAACCCATCTACAAACAAACAGCAAGCACTTGAAAAAAGTATAAGAAAACCTCACTTTCCTGACACAAGTTTTAGTTTTTTCCTATCTATTAATCTCATATCAAACCTCCTTCTGTATTTATTCCTTGATGTAGTTGGTTCTGGTGTTAGGAGATCTTCACATACCTCACAGGCAGAGTGGCTTGCCAGCTAAGTTCAAGAAGCTACTAGTCCCTGGCAAGATCCAGCACATATTATGCACTGGCAACCTGTGCACTAAGGAGTCCTATGATTATCTCAAGACACTTGCCAGTGATGTTCACATTGTCAGAGGAGACTTCGATGAGGTAAGAAAGATGAAGATCATTTGTTTGTCCTTGTGTTCTCCTTTGTCCAATGGGAGAACATCTTGTGTTGAAAACTAACTAATATAGTCAATGTTACACTTCTCAAGAAAACCAATTAAAATCCATGTACATGTACATTGTAGTTAGATGCAGCATCCCAACATCAGTGTACACTGAACATTATAAAGTGCTACCAGTATTGTAGTCGAGTAATTTTATCCAAGTGCCAAGTTATCCCGTAAGAACGAGTGCAGGTATCGGAGCCCAAGTTACTTTGACCTTTTGCGTACAAGTTTTGTGAAGTATTTAGACCTTGGAGTACTTGATATAGAACTCAAGTTAAAACAATTAAAATCTCAGGCAGTGATGAGTGGAAACTGAATCCACCTCTTCAGCAACATGGATGTAATGGACTACTTTTGTCAACTAGTCCGTTGTGATAAACGTTGGGATTGTTGGTGTGTATAAATATATTTCTGTATGAATTAAGGCATTTTCTTGTGTGCCAGTGCCAATAGCTTTTGTGGCAAATAAGTCAGGAATTCCTCAATGGTGGCCCATCGTAGCCACCTTCTCCCGCTAATTTCAAGCCTTGATGCAATTATTAAAAATAAGAAGTTGTTTTTAGGACATTATCTGTCTTTATATTAACATTTTAAAACATACCTCAGTGGAAATACATGTAGGCCTATGCAAAGACTGTCGTGATGCACAGGCACATACCACATTGGAAAAAAATCTCAAAAAATAAATAAATAAATCTTGACTGACCAACCCTTCATTTTTTTGGCAGTGTTACTGGAAACACAATTTTGTGTGCCTTAGACAGCTGTTAAATTAATGTGTATAACTTTTTATAGCATCTATTGATGTTTTTGTGGAGTTGTTTAACTCTGCCCTGCTGCTGCAAAGCACAGGCTCTGGCACTTTGACTAGTGTAGGTATCTAGATCCAGATGGTTTGCAGTACTCTGTCGGTAGAGGGAGAATATTAAAGGAGATGTTCCATTGTCTGAGAGGCCTCTCTACAGTCACAAAGGTCATTGGTATCCACACTTCTGCATTAAGACTGTGCACCTGCCAACTCCAATCTTGAGACAGGGCCAGGTTGACCATGTGGCTCCAGGTTGACCATCAGTAGCTCCAGGTGGCAGGGATTCCTAAGGGTAGAGTGACAGCTTGTGGAATGAGATTCAAGCCTCTTGATCCAGGCCTCTGCTCTGAGGGTGTGATTTCCAGACAGGGGATGGATTTCATGGAGGAAATGTGTCCTGCTGCTTAGCTCTTTCTATACATGAGGTAGTGTCTCTGCTCACTAATGGAGGGGCAATGCCACATAGGAAGTACAAATCATCCACTCGCGTGGGGTTTAGGCAGCCAAAAACACAATGGTTGAGCATTCAACTTGATTTGTAAGGTTTATCACTTTGACTGTAACTTAAATCTTAGGTTTACAATTCATTTTCATCATCCAACCTATCAAGATGAGGTTTTTCCATATACATTGGTCCAGTTTGGTTTATTTCAAATGATTCCACAAAGCAGTAAATAAATGAAAATGTGAAAGGAAGATTTCTTTTTCATACAATAGGATTAACCTCAACCCTGCTCAATCCAATGTGATCCAACTATTTTACATATCCTTTGGGTACTGTTGGATTGAGCAGCAAACCCCTAGTTTATATTCCTGTTGCAATCTGTTGCATTCAGCAGGCAACTAAAACATTCATAGTCGGATTCTGTTCAGTTACTGGTAAATAACGCCAAGTTGGACATTGTTGGATCCGGTAGCAAACAGAAATATAAGGCATAGTTGGATTCTGTTGGATTCTGTTGGATTGTGCATGCCAGTTCTTTTATATTTTCAGGTACCCAGCAACTAAGCAAGTTGGGTTGTGTGAAACTGTGTTGGATTGAGTAGGAAACTCATAGGAGTAACCGTCCGACTCTGTTGGATTTAGCAGGGTAGTCCTGGGCAACTACTAGGGGCCACTTGGGGTTTAGGGTTAAATGAGCACAACAAACCTTTAAAATGGTAACATATCATTACATTGGGTGTTTGTTTATACACAGGATTGATTGATATGACATTTCCTTAGCACATGTTGATCCTAGACTCATTTCATTTACTTTCATTCTCAGAATGTCTCCTACCCAGAGCAAAAGGTGGTTACTGTTGGCCAGTTTCGCATCGGTATATGCCATGGTCATCAGATGATTCCTTGGGGTGATGTGGAGAGTCTGGCTATGGTTCAGAGACAACTGGATGTAGATATCCTCATCTCAGGACATACACACAAATTTGAAGCATTTGAACATGAGAATAAATTCTACATTAATCCAGGCTCAGCCACTGGAGCGTTCAATGCTTTGGAAAGGTATGGCTTATGCAACAAAGAAAGCACACCCCCGAGCGTTATGTTTCTTCGCTTTGAGAATGACAGTTTTAGTTGCAAGAAAAACTTTGATCATTGACCTTTATTTATTTTTTTTATTTACTACATTGTAGCTCAGTGGCCCTCAAATAATACATGAATGAGTGGTAATATGTCAACAGTGAATGTTGGTTAGTTCAAAACTTTGCATGTCCATTTGTATTTTCTGCTTTTCTTCATTTTAACAGCAACATCAACCCTTCCTTTGTGCTGATGGACATCCAGGCATCCACAGTGGTCACCTATGTGTATCAACTCATTGGAGAAGAAGTCAAAGTTGAGAGAATAGAGTATAAGAAAAACTAACGGTTGGCTTAAGGACACCTTACAAACGTTGCATCTTGATTGTGACATTGCATTAATTTGCACACTTTGTACATATATAGTTAGGCCTTTTTTGAAATTCCTCTTGGAAAAAAACCACAACTTTTGTACTTCATGGTATCCCTGCCCATTCAAATTGCAATGGTTTGTGGTGTTTACTTGGACAGCAATTATGTATAGATCAAGATGACAATGATTAACTAACCTACACTCTATATCAATGATCACAATAGGCTTTGATCCTGTATCATTACATTTAACCAATGTATTTTTGGCAAAAAATTATGCCTGTGTATTGTTTACAATTTGGCACATAGGAACATTGATAATTCCATCACAATAGTGTCAGGTCCATTGGTCCTTGAACTGCATCGTAAGACATTTTATTTAGTCACTGATGAATCAATCAAATCATATCAGTAAGAATCTACGTAATCAGTGATTATATTTTGCAATGCACCATATTTGTTTAGTAAAATCATCACACTTTACCAGGTTTCATACCTTTTTCACTGGGTATGACTGTATATAGCAATCTGGCTTGATATTGGAGTTGGAATTCTCTTTGGAAATTTCAATTAATTTATGAAAGTTTCATAGCATGGCTGTAAAATGAATTGGCAAAGAATAAGACATTATTTTCGTTCCCTTTAGAAACAAATACTGAAAGAGTTACATTTCTTACTTCAAACTGTGTTTGTATCAAATAGATAAAAATGCCCAACTTTGCTGTTTCCGCTAGTGTACTTCCACAGCCAGGAAATAATGTTCTGATGAGGGTGCACACATTACTGATTTCCATAGAGCATCAATATTCTGATGTGTTTCTTGTACCTGATAGGTAGATAGTAGACTTGTATTCGAGTCATCAAAGATCGAGTCCCGAGTCATGAAGGTCCAGTCCGAGTCCGAGTCACAAAGATCGAGTACGAGTCACAAGTCACCTGTATGTACATTGGACATTATTTTTGAGGTACTGCTGAAACCTCAAAGTGTGAATGCTTCCATTTTTGTCAGCTAATTTAATGAACTGAAAATACATGTATAACATGTCAAAAAAGGCAAGCCACCAGTGTCTGGAAAGGATATGGAATACTATTAAGTTTGCATTTATGCAACATCAAGTGTGGACGCTGTGGTACATGTTTCGATACATTTATTTCCCAAATCAATACATCGGAAACAAGCCAGCTGCACACGCTGTGTATTTACAGTACTTGCGTTTCTTGTGCACCGAATTGAGTGACTATCGCTTGCTCAGGACAGGATCGTCTATAAAATAATTTGCGACTATATTGTTGAAAAAATAAGTGATATGAGGCAGTTTTGGTCCGAGTCCGGAGTCACGCAGGGGTCGAGTCTGAGTCCGATTAATTTGTCACCATTTCTCGAGCCCGAGTCACGGAAAATAGGACTCAAGTCAGAAAGTCCGAGTCACGAGTCATACAAGTCTGGTAGATAGAGAGACCTCCAAAAACTGTCTTGTGGAGTATATTAAGGGGTTTCTTACAAATGCTTTCTATTGAACTCAAACATATTTATATTATTGTCAGTTAATGAGTATTTTGATTTGAGCATTTTGTCAGTTATGTCCAAATAAACTACACTGTACTCAAGAATTGCAGTATCATTACATCAGTCAGTTTGCCACTTTGACTTACTGCCAGTGAACATGTATTTCATTGTTGCTGTATAAAATGTACATTGTAACACGGTGTGCAATCCAGTAGCTCCCCCCCCAGTCCATTTTGCAAGGTCCTATTTTATTTGAGGTGATTAATTATACAAAAAAGACTGCATCTTGACCTCAACATTTTGACCATTCAGCGGGCACTTTCTATATCCGGTCTTGTCATGTATATCTATAAATAAAACCTAGACACGGCATCTATTCTTTTTTTTTTACGCTGTGAATTGAGCAAAACAGTCTGCGGTCATGCACTCTGTAACGATATGTTATGTGATATGCCAAGCAATAATAGAGCTGGCCAGTCACGGATGTGTCTAGGTTTTGTAGATCTATTCGCGCCCGGCTGTGTTATTCAAAAACACTGCATATGAATCGACAAATCACAATCTTAGGCCAGATTTGGGAATATTACGTCGCAATTTAGTAAAGTCAACTCTGTTTGGCTGGCGCGTTGGGTCGCATAAATTTGCATTCTTAGATATATCTACGTTGGACTGGAGATAGGGCTCCGTGGACAACGGTGATATCGGACTACCCCCCCTTTTTTTCGAATTTGCAGCACTGTCCTGGTCAATTGGTGTTCAAGATTTTTGGAAAATGTGGCAGGTTAATCAAAAGTGTGTGGTGATATATACCCCCATTCCCCCTGGATTTTCTCCCCTGAGACTACCGGGGTGTGAGTGACCACTGATACAAATAGCTGAAAACACCTGAAAAAGGTAAAAAAAAAAAAAAAAGTGAGCTTTGAAGCACTAAAATCATCTTTAAAGCTGAGATTTCAAACCCCTGGGACTAACTTATGTGTACTGTGAAGGGTTTGGCCCAGTACAGAGTTAGTTATGTATCTGTGTGAACTAATGAAGACAAGGCTATATAGACATGTAGTTATGTTCCAAATATTTGACATCACTTTTGGAGGCCTTGAATAACGACGTGTCTAAAATCTTGGGGTTTTTTTGGACTGGTTCACTATGTTGTTGGGAGTAAATTTTTTTCAGAAAATGCACAACAAATCAGGCATTTTAAATAATTATTTAAAGTATATTTAATATAAACCCTCCAGATTGTAAGACTATTTTATTTATTTTTTTACACGCAACAGAAACTTCACTATTATGACCATGGTGACTGAATCCCAATTTTAAGCTTCAATAAAAACACCAAATTACAAAACAAAACAACTATTTCAAATTCAAGAATTCTTTTAACAAACAAAATGAAAAAATAAGCTAATCATGCCATTACATCAAAACAGCTTGTGAAGAATTAAAAAAAAATCAGTTGGAAAATTAAATCTTGTAAATTTAATTGAATAATCTAAGAATACAAGGTGTCCCTCCAAACAGCTCTTTGCAAGTTCTAATGCAAACTTTAATTTGTCTAAAATCCATCATTTGTTAGTAAAAATACAATTACAAAAATATGTTGTACATGTATGTTTCTTATTTGTGACCCGCTCCACAAAAATGAGTCTGTTGTGGCAAAACTGACATTTTGAGTTAACTACATTAATAAAATGGGAATGAAATAAGCTTTCATTTGGTATATCATGGGCCTCTCTAGGGCGTTTGGTTGCACTCTTGTGCCTTTTTTAATTCTGTCAAGTTTTTGCAAAGCAAGAAATGTCTCAATGAAGAAAAAAGGGTTTAAAAATTACAAATACACTGTAACTAACCAAGAAAAGCACCAAAAATCATGAATTTGTTAGTCTTTTTCTTACAATATTTAAATTTCTGTGTAAGATATCTGAACTAAAACTATCAAACAACCAAAATAAAACAAAAACAAAAAATCAAAATTTTGAGAAAAATTTTCACTGTTTCCATTTAAAAGTGGTGAAAGCTGGAATTCAAGCTATGCGACATCAGACTCATTTTTGCAGAGCGGGTCACATTTTAGTTTGCCAAAAAATAGTTAGGTAACAAATATTCTCATCCACCAAATGTTTACAAAAATATACAACTATTAACAGCTTATTTAAATGGCATAAAACAGAATTCTAGTCTAGATTTTAACACTCCTTTTTTTTTTCTGGCTGAGATCAACAAATATTGTTGTCAATCTTTATTGTTCAACACAAATCAAAACCTAGTCTCCTTGAATTGTTTTTATTTCCTGAAGTGAAAGCTTCATTTAATGAATTATGTGCACGGGTGCATTTGTGCAATGAACCATCCGCAAATGCTGCAGGATCTTCCAAAAGACCACAATATAACAAAGTTAGACTGCATATAAACAGTGCCCAAAAAATGTAAAACATTTTGAAATGTTTTATGAAGACGCTTTCAGTTACATGTATGCTTCCTGAGGCAACACATACCAGTGTATTTCAGCATTGCAGAATAATATACAAAAGTAGAATATGGCTGTGCAGAGAAAGTGAATTATAAGTATTCATAAAAGGCACTATTGTAATAATTATATTGATTTGAGATGTCAGCTGCCACATAGATGTTTCAGCGGTTGACTCAATGGTAATACTAGGTTCACACATCCCCATTTTTTAAGCCGAACCGCCGCGAATAACAATTCTTGAGTAAATCAGGGAATAGTTCTTGGATGCCTCAGGAATGATTCTGTTAGTTCAGTGAAAGATCGGAAAGCGCCCCAACAATTTTTGACATGTTCAAAATTGTCAGAATTTGAATTCTTGGTTTCTTCTTGTATTCATAACTAATTCTAGATATTCTTACAGCATTGATTCTTACAAGTTTTCTACAGTTATTCTTGGTGGTAACAGTCCAGAATAATGCCGAATCATTACGAATGTACCAAGAATAGACGAATAGTATAAGAATAACTACCAAAACACTAAGATTTTGTTAAGAATAAATAAGAATGAATCACAAATAATGCTGAGTTATCCAGTTTTTCCGAAGATTTTATTAAAAATAGCAAGAATCAAGCACAATTTAATATGAATTGATCCAGAATAGTCCCTGAATGATGTGAAGATCTACGCTGTTTGGCAAACTGGAACTGATTGACGATGATCGCTTGTCTAGTCAGGTTGTCGGGATTGGTTTAAATAACGGGATCGCCTGGATTAGGCCTCATTCTGGATGATTCCCGCATGTTCTGATCAATTTGTAATGAAATTAGTATAATTCTGGGTCATTCTGGATGATTCTGGAATAATTCATATCAGTGTTGTATTCAAGTACTTTTTTGCCGAGTACCAAGTACTGTCGAGTACACTGTACTTAGGTTGCCGAGTACGAGTACGAATACTTGTACCTCCGATTACAAGTACAGGTCTCCGAGTACGAGTACTTGGACTTCCGAGTACGAGTACAAGTATTTGTACTTCCGAGCATGAGTATGGGTACTTCTTTTTCCTAATACGGCCATACAGCAAATGGTTCATGGTGTATTATTGGCCCAGGCCAGTCAGACCAATAAACAGACCTCACGGCTGGCTGTTAAATGTGTTTGTCCAGACGTGCACAGAGGAAAATCAGGAAACTTTGATTTCTCCACAAGCCAATCAACCATTTCAAACTGAAAGTATCGATAAAATAAGGTACTGCTATTCGAATATTTCGATATGTCGAGTACGAGTATTTTGCTGCCCGAGTATGAGTACTGTACATCATTTCAATTACGAGTACTTTGACAAAAAAGTACTCAAGTACGAGTACCGAGTACGAGTACTACAGCACTGATTCATATATTATTCTTGACAAAATCGCTACAATTGGGTTTTATTCTGTACTAATCGCAATGATTTGGCTTCCAATTCCCACCTAGCTTTTGATTATTTCTGTTTCATTCTTAAGTTCTTCTTACAAACAACGAATGGGGGGTAATTTCTCCCGATCCCATCAAGAATTTTTATTCGGGATAGATCGAGTATTAATTCAGGAATGTGTGAACCTAGCATTATGTAGAAATGCATGTCAGCATGGGCGTCGCGAGGGGGGGGCAAGGGGGGGCACTTGCCCCCCCCCCCCCCCTGGAAAAGCAAAAAAAACCAAACAAACAAAAAGGAAGAAAAAAAAAAGAAAAAAAAGAAAAGAAAAAGAGGCGCGAAGACAAAGTGGTGTAAATTTAATGAGTTGGGGGGAGGGGCAAAATGTCCCTGCCCCCCTCTAAAACTGATAAATCGAGAATGTGTTGAGAAATACAAGCATTTTTTGGCAAAAAAAAAAATTTGCCCCCCTCTAGAAAAAATCCTGGCGACGCCCATGCATGTCAGTGCAAAAGAATGTATAGCTGCATGAACCGTTCTTGGAGATGCCGGGCTGCTTGGAAAACGGCTGCCTATTTCAAAGAATTTCTTGTAAACGATGTTCTACTCTGTGAGCAGTGAACAGTATGAAAGAATGCTTCGTGTTGATATGACTGGGCCAAAACTCTGACCTAGTCTAGCTGTGTTTAGAAGTTAGCTTGGGACAAAAGTCTGCATTGTGGCTGCTGAGAATGCCTGTACTCGATCTGGCTCTATTATAAGGTAATACATTTTGTAATAAACTCTGTTTGCATTCCTTTGCACAGTCAGCCCTTATTAGCTAATCAGTGTCAGTCAGCTCTTAACCAAATGGTTTGATGATGCTTACGCAATGGGCCTACCAGAGACACTGGCTGAAGTATCCAATTAATTAATGAGTGGATGGGTAATTAGCGTCATCTATCCTCCTCCTCATCAGTGCAAGACATTTAAACTCTAGGTGATCAATCCCATGGTGAAACAGACGAGGCTCACTTAATAGTATATATGGGGCAAGTTCAAGTTTCAGTTTAAAAACTGTTTATACTTATCAAACAGTTAAAACGGTACAGCATTAGTAGTCATTTTATATATTAATGACTGGCAGCTGTTTTGCCAAGAAGGTATACAAAATAAAGGGCCACTCCTGGCTGATCAAGCGGATCTCCGATCACCCTTTGTTTCTGTACAATTTTTTCTTTTTTTTCTCTCTTGTTTCCCCTCCATACAATAATTTTC